GTTAGTGAAGGAAAGAGAAGCAGAGAGGGGGCACCTGGGTGGCTCAGTCGGTTGGGCGTCCGGCTTTGGCTCAGGTCATGATCTCAAGGTCTGTGGGTTCGAGCCCCACGTCGGGCTCTGTGCTGACAGCTTGGAGCCTGGAGCCTGCTTCAGATTCTGTGTCTCCCTCTCTCTCTCTGCCCTACCCCTACTCATGCTCTGTCTCTTTCTGTCTCAAAAATCAAAATAAACATTAAAAATTTTTTAAAAAGAGAGAGGCAGAAAGAACAGATTACCTCTACTTCTCGTATGTTTATGGATTGTTTTGAAATATTTTCCCAAGAAGAATGTAGCAAGAGAAAAACTGGAGCCTACCAACCCCACCCCAATAGTATCAAATAAAGTTTGGCGCCTTTGGAATGTTCCATTAGCCTTTTCAGTTTAACAACGTTTTAGAAGCAACTAAAATGTAGGCTTAGTCATAAAAAAAAGAAAAAAAGAAAAAAAAAACAAAACAATGATTGTGTATGTAAAGCCATGAGTCGATGCTACAGAAACGGAAACTGTCAAATTTGCCTGAAGGGGAGACCCAGGGAGAATGCTCTCACTTTGCCACTTCTATGACCCGTCCATGGAGGGAAATTAGCCTGGATGAAGAAGCTGCCAGGGTGTCTCTGGGAACTCTGAAGGATGGCATTCCTACACGTATTTCATTTGGCTCTGCTGCATAGAGGGAAAGAGGGATGTGGTTAAATAATCAATGTTCTGGTTCATGCTGTTCAAGGTGCCTGTTAGGCCTCCCTCTTTGAGCCCATATCAGTTTCTGGATTTGGGTGAGAGCGGTAACTGAAATTCTAGATTTTTTTTTAAAAGGGAGACAGTCATTTCATATAAAATATTAGATTTTTATTTACATGAATGAATTAGGAACTTAACCTTGTAGGAGTAAAATGAAGGGAAATTCTATTAATGGCGTAAGACCCAACTGGAGTTTTCGCCGGTTAATCTTAAACTCTTTCTCTCCTTTCCTTTCCATGCCCAGTGGCTTCCAGGGAAAGGCAAAGAAAAGGTGTAGGAGGACATAGTAGGCCCGTGGGTTCCCACTCAAGACGCATGCCCTAGAGACGTTGAAGTGGTTTTCCTTGACTACTCTGTGAGCACATGCTTGCTTGATGGGTCGGAATGCTGTTTTCGTTCGTTGGACGCTCTCTGTCTTTCTGCATGGCTTCCAACCAAATAATTCACCAGCTTGACTGCGTCACAGACTTGACATGTCACCTTTCTTGTTTGTGTCCTTTGTCACCCACAGGTCAGCTTGCAAGGTTGAATACAATATCCTTTTATCACTCTCCTCTCAAGTAAGTACCGTCTTATTTAGGAAGAAACGTGGCCACTGTATACTGAACTCCAATGACTTGTAACCTAAATGCACAATCACTCTCTCTTAGGTGTTTCTGTGTTCTGTGTGATAAAATATCCTCCTTCCCTGCTGATGTCAAAGAATCGTCCCGGCCTGTGGAGCATTACATTATAATCCAGTGGAGATTTGGCAGACAATCTTGGGAATTGACTTTTTACTCTATTAATTAGGAAAATTGCCACAGAGACTTCTGTAACACCAGAGATGCCCCCGAAATCTTCTATGGCTATGAAGCCTCATCACCAATCCACTAACAGCATCTGAGTTTGCAGCCTCTCTGTCCCTTGAGAAGGAAAAGTCCAGGCTTGCTCATCACGTCCAGAGATGGGTCAGCTTCGTATCATGCTGTATTCAAGACCCAAAGATCAAATGTGTGTGCTTTAACAAGTAAAGGCAAAACCATGTATTATTTAAAAAAAAAAAAAAAAAAAAAAAAGGAAGCAAAACAGAGAGGAGAAATTCTGCAGCCTTATATTTTTGGAATAGTTGATTCAGATTCACTGTGGAATTTAGCAAGATACAGCTTAATTTAAAATATCATTTACATGGCATGTGGTTCCCCACCCCCGAGGACCTACCTACATACATGGGAAATCCTCAGTAATGTGTTTAATGTAGAGAGAATAGCACTGGATTGGCAGGACCACTTGAGTGTAGCCATCTGAAGCTTAGACTCTGGACCCTAATAGACCTGATTTCAAATACGGATTCCACCAAATCACAGCGGCATAACCTTGACAGATTATTAAACCTCTGTGAACCTCTGTTCCCTCTGCACAACATATATCATGATACTCACCTCACAGTGGAGTTGTCTTCACCGGGGTGTAGTTTTTAAAGAGTTTAACATCGTGCCAGACACACCATAATTTATTATGAGCACACACATACGTGCCTGGAACTATGCTTAGTGCTTTACAAGCAGTTTCATCCTGGGGAGCTGCTGTAGTTATTTTTTAAGTGTATGGGAACCTCCGGGACTCAGAACCAGCTTGCTCTCTGTATTTTTATAAACAAAGCTAGGACTCAGCTATGTGCAAATAATTTTATACACCTTTGGCCACCCTGTCTCATAAGTCGAGCTCCTTTCTCTGGCTCCAGCCAGTGGCCCTTTAGCTGTACCCCATACGGTTCAGAGTAAATGCACCTCTCACAGTCTCTGGCTGGCAGGGCCCCGGGACTTGTATCTACCTGAGTGATGTAGTCTTTCCCACCCATAGATTTCATAAGTCTATCCGACAGATGGTAGTAAAGTCCACTCTGGCTGCTAAATTTAAAAAGGAATATATAGCTCTTAAATGACAAATCAACTTGAAAAGAATACATCCTAACTCACGCATTACTGACTGACCCGTCTCAGTCCTCAGGTTAGGATTAAGCAAGTAGAAATCGTGACATAACTGCTGTTAAGGAATATACTTTAGGAGCTTTGAGGCCTTTTTAGTGTGAAAAGAAGGATCTGACTGTCTGCATTCTAGTCTACCTCCCTTGGATTTGAGGACGCCACACCACATGCTCTCCTGATTCATTATGACCACGGTGAAAAAAATTCCCAGGAGCTGTTTCTGAAAATATCTATTCCGGTTATAACAAATCTAGTCCCAAAGGAACAAGCTTCTCCTTTAACAGCATTTTCTTTCTCTTAGTGCCAGCGATTGGATCGTTTTTATTCTGCACATTATTTAAACATCAGTAACTAGTTCTTAGAAAAATATTTTTCTTAAAAACTAATGAAATGTCTTGACATAAACTCAGATAAGAAGTGGCATTTGGGTCTTCTACCTAAAAGCCAAAGATTTCAGTTCGCTAGAAGTTCTCAGGCCATTTTTTTCATCTTTTGTTGTCAATCTGGTGTTGAAAAATTGAAACCGTCGTGGCCTCTGCCATTTCCTACCTCCCCAGCGGGCATTCCACAGGACTCTAAACATGAACTAGCCTGTCACTAAATCAGCTCCTTAGGCCAAATTTACTCAAAATCTTCTGGATCAGTCCAGAAGCCAGTGACTTTTCATCTTTGTGGCTAGTTCTATCCTGGTATAATTTTTCTTGAGGCAGCCAAGAAATACAGCTGAAATCCTGGAACCGTTTATGCTATTGAAATCGATTTGTCTGGGCTTTCTGATTGTGCTGCAAGACCAGAAATTATCCCAAAGCCGTGCCTTTCTTACCCAAGAGTCCTGAAGCCGGCTTCGTTGCTGAAAGTTCATTAGGGGTCCACCAAGGCACAGCCCTACACGGGTACGGGGCAGAGGGTGGGACGCCAAAGAAATAAACGACCCATCCTCTGCTCAAAAAGAGCTTCAGTCCTGTTTGAGGATAAGAATGCACTCATCAATACTAACAGGGGTGAATAGAGGGAACCTTGCTTTCCAACGAGCCTCTTTGGAAGAAACAGTGTATGTAATGTCTAACACTAAATTTAAGAATCCACCAAAACACCATTTGGGCAGACTCAGATCTTGGATTGGGCCCTTTTGCCTCCCTCTGGCCACATGATACCCCGCTCTCCTTGGCCAGCCACATCCTAACTTCAGAAACCGGGGGCTTGGACAATCGAAAGTGGGTATTTTTTTCTAATTATGATGTCATTCTGATGGTAGGTTAGGGGTCGCATCTGCTGGTCGGCTGAGGACAACACAAATATTCCTGTTTGTGTGGCTTCAACCCTCCAGATGCCTCCAGCATCTTGCCCGTGAAGCAAGAGACTCAACACAGAGGATTCCTGTCCTCGCTGCAGCAATAGCAGTAGCCCATAGTGTCCCCGGACGTTGGTTTCGGATTGTCAGAGGAAGGGAGGACAGAGAGAGAGTGTGTGAATACGTGTGTGTTGGGGGAGGCGGGTGGGGGGAATCCTAAGCTTCATAACCCTGATTTAGAGGACAGTTTTCGTCTTAAAAAAAGAAAAAAATCACACGTTCCTTATTCCCAGGCAAGCTATAGTCAGACAGATGATGAAGGTAACAGGAAAGCTGGTGGTGAAGGAGAGCCCCGCACCCACCCACACAGAGGAGAAGACACGGCCTGGCAGCAGCCTCATTGGAGAGAGAGGAGCCGCCCGCACAGCAGCTCCTGACCGCCCCCCCCCCCCCCCACCCCTAGAGACGCGTTCTGCCAACTGGAGCGCAGCGAACTTTTCGTTCTAAGATTCCTAGTTCTTAGGTGTGTGTTTTGAGAAGGGAAAAAAAAAAAAAAAAAAGACTTCTGACGTCTGTTCGAAGCTAACTTTTCAACCACATCTTCTGTAACATGGCTCACCCCTGGTTAACAACAAACAAAACAAACCAACCACCGCAAGGACAACAAAAAAACAACTACAGCCACACACGCGCACAGATGTATCCCACAGGCTGAAAACCCACGCTGCTGTTACTCACGATGGCAGTGTTAACAAGCATTTTCAACCTTTGCACATGATATTGAACCTGTTCCGTTTACAATGACAATATTAATACTGTGTACAGCTGGAAGTTTGATTTCTGAATTCTTTGAGATTTTAGCGAAACAGTTTATTATACACTGTACATTTTTTTTTTTTTTCCACCAGGGTTGGGAAAAAAAACAACCACTTGCAATCATTCACTAACCCCGAAGGATTTGGTACCTGAGTGTCCAGACTCAGAGCCCGGAAGCCAAGAAGGGTCCTTGGCCCGCACGATCCGCATTTGTCTCTAAGTCTCTGTGAGCAGGGACTTGAACCAATCACACCAGGATAATCCAGTCTTCGGGGCTTCTTTCCAGCTTGGGGTTGTTTTCTTTCAAGATACTCTAACAAATCAGCCATAGAATTTAGTGTAAATATTTTTTTTCCAAATAGTTATCATACTCAAAAAAAAAAAAAAGGCAACATTCAAATGATATAGAATCTAGTTTTTAAAATCAGCACAGATCTTCTTAAAAACTGTGAACTATGTTTTGAGATACTCGTTACTAAAGCTGTTTATAAACCACAGGTGCCATAAGATCCCCAAACGGACTAAAGTTCTCTCTACTCTTCCACGGGCTCGTTCCTCTTGTTTTAGCTTTAGGGAGCATGTCTAACCGCACCGCTCATCCACAGGTTCCCCTATCAGGCCGTTTGGAGCCCTTCGGCTTTAAATGTACAGGCTTAAAGTGCGCTTCCAAATGCTCACTCTCCTTTTATTTCTGAATGTTGATTGCCTTAGCTGGCTTACCTGGTGTTCTGCATGCAGCCTTCTGTGGTCCTGTGCGAGGAAACAGGCTCTTCTAAGCTGAGTTGGGATTTTGCACTCAGTGAAAAGCCAGTGTGCAAAAGAACTGTCGAAGAAGGAAGAATGAAAGCCTCTGTTGACGGTCCTTTATGAGGGCCCTCGGTGGGGAGCGCTTAACGACCTCCCTTAGGGGTTCTGGGGAAATGAAAAAATAATCCACTTGTTTCAAGATTTGATGAGACCAAAATCCTGCTACATATTGAATATGTTATACTTAAGTTGGCAACTTCTCTGGCATTCCTGTCTCCTTTAAAAGAAGGAAGAGAACATCCGTTTAGAGCAGTGGCTCTCAAAGTGTGTTCCCTGGACCAGCAGCATCAGCGTCACTTGGGAATTTATTTAGAAAAGCAAATTCTTAAGCCCCAACCCAGGCCTGCTGAATCACAAACTCTGCATATTGGGCCCAGCCAGAGGTGTTCTAATAAGCCGTCCAGGTGATCCCTGATGCACGCTAACGTTTGAGAACCACTGCTTTAGGGTAAAGTTGCATAACAAAATCTCTAACAAGGCCTTATTCAGAATAAGCGAGAAAGGCTCTGAGTCAACCTCAAAGCTCCAGCAATTCGATTTTGCTTCCGGGGCTGGCAAAAACCTTCTCCCCCACCCCAGGTAGTCGATAGTTGGTCTGTGCCCAGCTGAGAAGAGACATCAGGACACCTTCCAGGTCCCCCTCCAGAGGGCTCTCAGCTGTTCCCGTCCCTGCGTTTGGTCACAAACCATCTCCTTGGCTGCCCTTTGGAACAAAATCGCTTGCCTCGGGGACCGTAAAGCTCTCCGCCAGCATTACTAAGAAGCCCGTTCTGTCCGTTGATGTACTTCATCATACTTTCCCCAGAGAACCAGCCTGACAAATGTCCCTGAAAACAGGCTGACACCAAAGTGGCGCAACTGCACGGTTGTCAGATTTCTTTGCACAGATGGGTTTTGTTCTGGGTTTCGTTGGTTTATCGTAACGTTCATCTCCTTTCCACTGCCCATCGTCTGTGAAACCGTACCTCTCTAGATGGAGCAGGTGGCCCCTCGTGCCTCATACTCGGTAACTTAAAACCACTACATCCCAGCTACCTACATTGCTGTCAGCTCTCAATCATAGCCAGGTAGTTCTTGAACTCGGAACTCTGATCCTGCAAGTGGCGCTCAGCCACCGACTGGACTGAGCTGACCTCTGTTGTCACTTTGTGTTTCTCCATCAAAATATTTGTCTAAGGTATGGACTATTGGGCTGATAGCCTTCCCCCTTGTCATAGCTTTCATTGCCAACTCCATCACACAGTTGTCGATAGCGTCGTACAAAGCCATTGCAAGGACTCTGCAAACTGCCACCAATGACCAGTTCCTGACTAACCAGCCACCTTTTCTTTCTCTTAGCGCCACGTCAGCACTGAGACCAGACTCAAGCACCCCTGTCCTGTAACCGAGACAAAATGGCGTGTATTGTTTTGGGTTTTTGTGTTTCTTGGAGGGTTTCTTTCCCTGGCTCTCCAAATTTACCTTTGGGACCTGTTCTAAGTGCAAACCCAGCAGGTTTCGCCTGTCCTGTCCATTAGCTACAATTATATCTCGCAGGGGTTGTTTCTTTCTTGTTCCACAACAAATTGCACATCCATCATCATCGGGGATGATGGCCTGTTAATGAGCACTGGTCTAACACAGCCAACCACCCTCCTCCACTGTACCATGTGAATGGAGGGAGGGAGGATGGAGGGCAGAATCTACTGTATGAGATTCAGGAATCAGTTGTGGTTGGTCAGGACGCAAGTCGGGGTAAGTTCGGTTGGTCAGAGGGAGATGTGCTGGAGATTGGGAAAAATGGATTCTCGAATGATCTCTATAAGGCAGGGAAGGTTCATTTGTAAGTAGTAATGTGAACTGAATTGCATAAGAGTGTGGCCTTTGTTGTGATATACTATGTATTTTCTTATATGCATGAGCCAAACTGTTGCATCATAATTTAGCACTGATGTCTGCTTTTATTTTGGTCATCCTTGTCCACCCTTATTAGTTCTGGGCTGTTAACTGTAGATAGACCTTGTAAATACGGCAACCTTTGGTTGCTGCAATCACCTTGGTTTGATTCCGCCCAAGGAGCCACAAACAAGAACTCCACTGTGTCCTCAGAAGAAAGGGCATTTTTACTTTTGAACCAAAAAGAGGGGGAAAAAATCAGAAACGTTACATCTGGAGGCTAATTAACTGCAAGACATTTTTAATTATGACTACTGTAATTTGACACCATTTGAAATAACCAATTCAGAGACACTAAAGCTTTCACACTATTCATTGGTATTGTAACAAAACTACTACTGTATGGGTTTTTTTTGTATTGCTGTTAAGTATTGTTTTGTGTGTGTGCGTGTGTGTGTTGGAACCTCCTGGGGACATGTTATATTTTGAAGTGATTAAACTATTTAATTGTGTGTCTATATTTTGGAATGGAATTATTTCTTCATTAAAAAATGTTTTTAAAAACACTATATCTGTGTATTTTATACCTTTGTTTCAATGAAAACTTTCTGGAGTCTGTCTGTTGACAGAAGAAAGACAAGTCAGCACTTGCAGCAGGAAGCGGGACCTGTCAGTTGAGTATTAAGCAACTAGAGCAAAATTTCTCACCTGTCCCTGCCTTTGGAGACACAGTTTTTTTTGAAGAGGGAAAGCCTTGCTGTACTCCATAGGGGATGAGTGTGAGAATAGGAATAGCTAACATAAAGCTTGCTTTCTATCTGACACGGTTACAAGCAGTTTATGTTACTTGACCCGATCCTTTGAATCACAGCATCTAGCCAGGTACTTGGCAATTATAAGCTCCCCACTTATTTGTTGAATGAATGAATAAGTGAATTTGTGGCTTTTGTTTGGTGTGTGCTAGAGCTGGTGAGGAAGGAGAATCGGCACCTCCCGGAGGTCAGTGTGCTGAGAGCAACAGGAATCAAATGAAGAGTTCCAAAGAGCGGACAGAAACTCAGCGTCCGCAGCGGTAATCACCCCCTACATTCTCGCCCTACATTCTCGCCTCTCTCCGGGGAACCTCTGGATTCCCATGCAATGTTGGGTTGTGTGTTTTGTTTGCTCAAGGAGCCGATTCCTTTGCAGAGCCAATAGCAGAATCTGTGAGTCTGGCTCCAACACTTCATGAATGGCATTTTTGGGAACTCTGAGCTGGAATGTTGCTGAAAGTCTGTGCTCACAGAGTCTGGGGTTGATTTACAGTTCATGACAATGCTATAAACACTCCAGAGGCACTAGAGAAAGAAACCAAGAGGCTCTGCTCTACATCAAGTGCTGGGGCAAACCCTGACCTGATACGACCACTAGTGGGAGCTCAGACACCCCATCCCATTTGGAGGTGAGAGACCAAGGCAGGTCCATGGGTGTCTTTCCAAGTCTCTTTCAGCTGCATCTCAATGTCTCATCCTCTCATCTCCTAGGAGCCACATGTAGCTCTGATCCCTACCTCAGCATTTCCTAAATTTATCTAATTGCCAAAGTCACCTGAAGAATCCATTAACCAGACTTAGCAGGTCTAGCTGGGGCCAGGGAATCTGTATTTTTTAACAAGTGCCTCTGGTAATATAGTCTGACAGATTTTAAGAACGACTCTCCTCTTGCTCTTCAAAATGTGGTCCAACGACCAATAGCATTGGCATCACCTGAGAGCTAGTTTCAAATGCAGAAGCCCGGGCTCCAAACCGGACCTACTGAATTAGAGTCAGCATTTCCTCAAGAGCCCCAGGGAATCTGTGTGCACTTTAAAATTTAGGAGGCACTTGACCTGGAGATCAGCTTTAATCCTAGACTTCTAGGATTAGGTTCAGTTGGGTCCTCGGGGCATAGAATGACAAGCCAGGAGTCCTCCTTAAACTAAGTGTCATGCTTCTTGAACGTACAGTGTTTTGATTTAGTAAGTCTGGGATGGGGACTGAGATCTGCATTTCAAATAATTTCGCAGGTGATGCTGATACAGGTCTGAGGGCCACACTTTGAGGTGCAAGGCTATGGGTTTCTTCTTTTTTTTAAATTATTTGTTATTTTTTTTTTAATTTACATCCAAATTAGTTAGCATATAGTGCAACAATGATTTCAGGAGTAGATTCCTTAGTGCCCCTTACCCATTTAGTCCATCCCCCCCTCCCACAACCCCTCCAGTAACCCTCAGTTTGTTCTCTGTATTTGTGAGTCTCTTATGTTTTGTCGGCCTCCCTGTTTTTATATTATTTTTGTTTCCCTTCCCTTATGTTCATCTGTTTTGTCTCTTAAAGTCCTCGTATGAGTGAAGTCATATGATTTTTGTCTTTCTCTGACTGACTAATTTCACTTAGCATAATACCCTCCAGTTCCATCCCCATAGTTGCAAATGGCAAGATTTCATTCTTTTTGATTGCCGAGTAATACCCCATTGTATATATATGTATATATACCACATCTTCTTTATCCATTCATCCATCAATGGACGTTTGGGCTCTTTCCGTACTTTTACTATTGTTGATAGTGCTGCTATAAACATGGGGGTGCATGTGTCCCTTCAAAACAGCACACCTGTATCCCTTGGATAAATGCTAGTAGTGCAATTGCTGGGTCATAGGGTAGTTCTACTTTTAGTTTTTTGAGGAACCTCCATACTGTTTTCCAGAGTGGCTGTACCAGCTTGCATTTCCACCAACAATGCAAAAGAGATCCTCTTTATCCGCATCCTCGCCAACATCTGTTGTTGCCGGAGTTGTTAATTTTAGCCATTCTGATAGGTGTGAGGTCATATCTCATTGTGGTTTTGATTTCTATTTCCCTGATGATGAGTGATGTTGAGCATTTTTTCATGTGTGGGTTGGCCATCTGGATGTCTTCCTTGGAGAAGTGTCTGTTCATGTCTTTTGCCCATTTCTTCACTGGATTCTTTTTTGGATGTTGAGTTTGGTAAGTTCTTTATAGATTTTGGATACTAATCCTTTATCTGATATGTCATTTGCAAATATCTTCTCCCATCCTGTCGGTTGCCTTTTAGTTTTGCTGATTGTTTCCTTCGCTGTGGAGAAGCTTTTTATTTTGATGAGGT